TTCTTTGGCTTCATCTCGGAACCCGGGGAGCTCGAAGACTTTCTTTTCCTCTTCTTTTTTCCCCTGCGGTAGCCCCGGGTTTCCCAATAGCGAAGGGATCAACATATAAGGACACATCCTCATCCCTTCTAACGGCCTAAGTTCGGCGGTCTTAGGCAAACCTGTGAAATAAAGAAGAGAGATCAGCGTTATGTAAGTTATGAGCATAGTAATAACTATTCGGAGGAGAACATAACCATGAGAACGGGCTTCCCATCGACCCTTAGAAAAATTGTGCCATGAGCACTCGATGCTTATAGATGCCTTCGATCCACTTCATGAGCCGGGGAACTGCATTGGGAACCCGGGCAACAGTTGCATTACCACAAATACTAATGATGAGAAACGAAATAAAGAAAAGTTGACCCTTAGAGAAAGGCTGCACTTACGATATGCATTCTATTTCTCGGGAAATGGCAGGAACTTGGGAGGGATCAGATCCTAGATTTTCACCCAAACAAAATATCCCTGCCAGCCTCGGTTCTGATCCTCGTCGATACTTGAAAAGGGGGCTTTGCTGGCCCTTCAAGTGAGCTTGATTATTTCCCCTCAGAAAAACTGGGAACTATATAGATGGAGTAGATGGTCGAGGGTGAATTGAGAGGATTCGGTGTGGCTCACAAAATAACATTGGAGGATCATGATCCTCAGAAGAGATGTGTAGATTTGCCCGAGGCACACCTCGTATCTGTTGTAGAAGGCCAAAATTACCGGGTCTACCGGGCCCAGCATGAAGGGGTAAGTGTAAACACTCAAGTACCCCTCCACGTATATAGTAATATCATCCTTGGGCTCGAGGACTACTACGTCCTTGCCTTCCCATTTACAGTCCTCTCGGACTACGGGAAGGACATCTTTGGTGATGGAGCATATGTGTCTACATGCTCATTTTCCCCGATCCTATTTGGATAAGTCCTTCTCGACTTTGAAGTCGTCTGCGATTGAGTAACCTTCAAATATAAAGCTTTTCATGGGGGGATCAGGGGCAACCTCGGGGGCAGCTGCCTTGGAAGCAGCCATATCAGGAGCGGCCACTTCGGGAAAAACTGCCTCGAAAGCAGCCACCTCGGCATCCGTGGTCGGGTGGGAAGATGAAGAAATAGTCTGTTGAGGAACTGATTTGGAAGTTTTAGCCATTACTATATGAGAAAGTTTGAAAATTTGAAGGAAAAGTATGAAGGTTTGAAGGAACAAGTTTGAAGGCTGGAGAGTAGAGTATGAAGATTTGAAGATAGGATGAAGATCCGGGTAAGAACCTAAGAACAATTATGAAGATTTGAAGCTCAAAGATGAAGATATGAAAGTTTGAAAGAGTTGGTAACAACTAGAGAATTCGAAGGTGGAAGCTTGGATCGGAAAGTGGGAAAAGAGGAAAGGGTATAAGCTTTTATAGGAGAATATTAGCGACACTTCATATTCAGAGGTAACAAGTCGTTTGATGACACGCGTCCGATGTCAGAACGACACGACTGATTGGATGTTTCGTCTTATCCCCCACCTCGGTTATAACGTGCTAAGGAAGGAACGGGGTTTCATCTATCGTTTCCCATCGTTTCAGCAAACCTACTCTCTAGGAAACGAGGGGACTATCTGTATACGGGTTAAATCAGGGCTAATGAGTACCCTGATTTTCTGATGGGAGAAACAAAGTAAAGACATGACTATAAGGGATCAAAATCAAAGCTGTGAACTCCTCGTACTAAGGCCCGAAGGGAAGTGCTAGCCACCGGGTTCGATAAGACAACACCCCCGAACTCGGCACAAGCCCCATGCCCTGAGAAAGCACTACGGAACGGTTAGACACAACTAACAAAGAGCCGTGATATCTATACCCAACCAGATATCACGGTGCAGATCTCGCCCGATGTCGGTGGCATATTAATTGATATACAAAGAGGATTCTTACCTTTTTTAGTATTGTACTAAGGGTAAAACTCCCCTACTATAAAGAGAAAGTTTTTTATTCAATAGACAGGAACACGCATATCAAGACAATAATAACTTTTTTCTTTCCTTCTATGTTATTCAAAAATTCTTATTTTTCTCATAGTTCTTCATATATATTTGGTCCCGAATCGAGGACAGAACAATCGCTAAGCTTAGGTCCGAGCCCAAACTCAACATCACACCTGGTTTGGTTATTTATTTTATATTTAAGTCACTTATCTAACGTTATTGATCTCTATTGTCGAATTAATTCATTTATCCTTAAAACCGCGTATAAATTCAATTCTTATCCATTTTAAGGGTAAACAGATGCGTTTCTGAATACAACATATTAGCGCTCAATTATTTGATATATAATTTAGAAAAAGATACAGCAAGCAATTGTTATTTTAGTCCTTTATGTTTATTGTGTTTATTCATTCAAAGATAGAAAGTAAGAAAAAAGGAATTAATCAAGCCAGCCACCACATACAAAATTAAAAAGGACAATTGTTGACTTAATTGTCAGCATAGGTTAACTGCTTTGAAAATAAAAATGTATACCAAATCAAGTAGTAGCAGTTGTACAACGATGGTTGATATCAACATCACGTTCTAAGAAACAAGGCAGGAGTTTTCAGTGGCCACTTTTGGTGGCGACCATTTCGTCTATATATTGCCAATTCCAGCGGCAACTATCTTTAATTTAGTTTTTGGCATATTAGTTTACTTTTATAGCGAGGTTAATCGCCACAAAAGCTAATAATAAAGTAAATTAGCTTATGTGACAAATATTTTGGCCACAAAAATAAATAAATGTGTCACAAATAGATTTGATGTAGTCTTTACTAAAAACAGCAGCATATAATTCGGCAACTTGGTGCTTGCTTTTGGTGGCGACTAAAGTAGTCGCTATCATCGTCACTGAAAACCCTCTGTTTGGATTGAATTTCATGCAATTTTTTATTTTTGAATAATTTTGAAGACCTCACTTAAGCTTTACATATTACTAAATTTAACTAAGAAAAGAAGTACAAAATATGATATTAGAAAAAATGGAAAATGGTCAAATATATTCTTCTACTGTCGAAAATTGTTTAAACATATCCTTCGTTATATAAACTATTTGGTCATTTCAAACCCTACAATTATATTATGAAACAAATTTGCCGTTATTTTTCACAGAGGGCCACGTGTCAGTTCCTTATTAAAAGACTCATGCCCAATTAAAATATTTGCGTACAGTATCTTGATCTTCAATTTTTTTCAATCTTATTGCGTATACTATATCTTGATCATAGCATATACGTAATTAGGAATATCATCAAATTGTAAGTTTCAAGAAAACATGGCTAGTTGATTTACTCTCTTTAATTTAGTTGTTGTCCCACCAAAATTTTGCTTGAAGATTAGTGGTGGGGTCAGATTTTTACAAAGGGGTATCAAAATATAAACAATTATATACACAGAAAAGTCAAGCGAGATCAACATATAGTAAATATTCATAAAACAAAAATAATTATCTAGTAATACAACGTAAATTTTCAGCGAAGCGATATCAATTGACACCCTTAATTGAATGTGGCTCCGCCACTGTTGAAGATAATCAATAACTTTTTCGTGAACTTGGAATGCTTTGGCGAGGACATAATTGTTAATTGGTGGATCGATCTGACCCAAATACTACATTTGCAATAGTGATAACTCCTGGATTTTGGCTACTGAGACCAGCCACTGCAATGACATTAGNTATATATATATATATAAAAGACCCCCAAGAAACTCCCGTGTAAATCTTGCTGAAGAGCTTGTTCTTCCCTTAAGAACAACAAGAACCTCAGTTCCTCTAGGATGCGTATGAGGTGGATTAAGACCCCGTCGTGCAAAATCAATACGAGCTAAAGAAATGTCTAGAGTATTAAGTCCAGTTAAATTGTTGACGTTTACAGCAGTTATACTGAGCTGATCCAATTTGATTATTTGATGTATTTCCAGGCTTGTTTAAACCTGGTCTGAAGAAGTCATCAGCCGTGACAAGTTTTGGGTCCTTGTAAATTTTTTCATTAACGAAAACTGTATATAAAGAACAATAATTACAAACAAAGAAATTAGAAAACCCCAATTGAAAATCATGAAATAAGTACTTTAATTATAGGCATTTAAGGCCAATAAAACTCCCCAAAATAAATAATGAATTAGGCTTCTTAATTACCAAGTCTTCCATGATTAGTTTCTAATAAACCAAAATCGTGAACCCTTCGTCAACAACTACAGAGACTAAATCTTACTTTCCCTAGACTTAATGGAAATGGTCAGTATTATTACAAGAGTTGCAAAGTAAGAATTTAGAAAAGAGAAGGTATTATTATGCTTTAAATCTTTCAATAGTTTACATATGCTTAATTGAAATGGGAGTAGTATGAGCAAAAGGGAGGGGTGTCATTGTTACTTGTTGGCGGAACCATTTTACTAGTCTGTAAGGAATGGGAATAACATTTTATCAGTTCAAATAATTCACATTTATTTACCAGTTCAAAATGTACCATACTAATTAACCAATTTCTTATTACTACTAATACAATGTGCAAGTTTTAATTTCTAATTTCCCCTGTGTATTGAGCAAATTTGTGAGTGTTTCTACGTCTACTACTATAGAAATTAATATGGAAGTGTAGCTTCTAGATATCTCCGTATCTGAGTATTTCTATAGTTGGAAAGTTTCTATCATATCTCAACTTCCCTTCCTAATCGTTTCCTTTCTTTTTCTATAATGATCTGGAGGATTTAACTGCTTTAATTAAGTCCACGAAAAATATGATAGTCTCTTATAGTAGTAGTTGCTAACTGTTTGTACGTTATAAGAAAATTTAAGATTTAGTCGTTATAGTTGTTGACGGAACATCACGACACAAATGTTTGAAAATTCACCATTGTTTACTTGATAATGCAGAAGCCTATTCCACACTTTGTTTAGGGGAAGTTTGAATACTGATTCAAACAAATTTTCATCTATAAATAGGCACACCTCTCTAATCATATTTCTTGCAGATAAACAAAGTGTTTCAATATATATACAGAGTTTTCTCTAATTTGCAATGGCTCTCAAGTTGTTTTTATTAACCATTGGCATTTTGGCTATTGTCTCTTCAATAAGCCATGCATATGATCCTAGTCCTTTACAAGATTTTTGTGTTGCTGTTAACGACTCTATGGCTGCTGGTAAATTATCGAACTACGAATTTGATTATTTGTTTTTCACTTGTACTTGTTGTTATTTTCACTTTCTAATAATGATTTTTACGCAGTTTTCGTGAATGGAAAAATATGCAAGGATCCAAAGGTTGTCAATGCTGATGACTTCTTCAAATCAGGCCTAAACATACCTGGAAATACTTCAAATCAAGTTGGATCAGCTGTAACTGCTGTGAACGTCGGGAACTTACCTGGACTTAACACTCTAGGCATTTCATTAGTTCGTATTGATTATGCACCATATGGTCTCAACCCACCTCATACTCACCCTAGAGCAGCTGAGATTCTTGTTGTACTCGAGGGTACTCTCTATGTCGGTTTTGTCCTTTCAAATCCCGGACCAAATATGAAGAACAAACTCTTTACAAAGATTCTAAAACCTGGAGATGTGTTCGTTTTTCCAATAGGTCTCATTCATTTTCAGTTTAACATTGGAAAGACGACGGCTGTTGCATTTGCTGGACTCAGCAGTCAAAATCCAGGAGTTATCACTATTGCTAATGCAGTTTTTGGCTCAGATCCACCAATTAATGACGATGTCCTCGCCAAAGCATTCCAAGTTGATAAGAAAGTGATCAATTATCTTCAATCACAATTCTGGTGGGACAACAACTAAATTTTGGTAAAAGCCAAATAATACTATGATATTATTTATGCTTGTTTTTGGAATTTAAGAAATCATAAATAAAATTCAGGATCTAGTCCTACGGAATGGTTTTCCTTGATCTTTGTATTTGATGTACTAAAGGAGGAACTTTTTTACTGTTTGTTTTAGCAAAAGTTTATATTTATCATTTGTTGTGGTTATGTTCTCCGATTCATACACCAGTTTATAGTACCAATTTGTGATATTTTGCTCTACGTTATTATTAGCATGCATGCTTATGATTAAAAAAAATGAGGCGTTTCTGAAAACAATAGATTAGCACTCAATTATTTGCCATTTTTGTATAAATTTTTGAAAAAGATACAGTAAGCAAGTGTTATTTAAGTAAGTACTTTATTTTTGTTGTGCTTATTGATTCAAAGAAAGAAGGATTTAATTAAAAAGGGCGATTATTGACGTAATTGTTAACATAGGTTGACTGTCCTTGATAGCAAATCAAGTAGTAGTAGTTGTACAACGAAGGTTGATATCAGCAATTTAGGGGTGCTTTTCGGGGATAATTACGCTTAACGGTTCGGCTTAACGGTTATCGGATTATAAATATAGTAATCCGCTAGCCATCCAATAAGACAACAAGCGGATTGGTATCAGATTAACAATTATCGGGCGGCTTATCGGCTAAATCAAATAGAAATTTTTTGAACAATCATTCAATCAATTCCAAATTTTTAATATCATCTAAGATCTAACCAAATTGTATTTTTTAATTGAAGAGTCTTCAAAACTACTCATATTGTTATACACGTATTAACCAAATTTTTAATACCATCAAAACTACTCATACAAACATACATGTATTAATCATTGAGATTTTGATTTTTAGACTTCTCAGGTCTCAGTTCAAGAGAGAGACGAGACAACTACTTCTCTGCCTCTGGTAGCTACAGACAATTGAGAATTAGAAAATAGAAATTAGGAATTTAGCCATTTAGGGGTTTCAATACTACTTTATATACATAGGGGTAAAAGTATAAATATAAAAATTCTTAACGGGTTAATAGTTTACCCAATAAGAAAATTGAGTAATCTGCCCTCAAACCGTTAAGCCGTTAATTATAAAATCTCAATCCGTTCACCATCCATTATCCCGATAATCCGATATCAATAAGTCGATAAGCCATCGGTTCGATTCGGGTCGATTAATGATTTCGATTCGGTTTAGAACCGCCCTAATCAGCATCACATATGACTAGGAATAAATCTTCACTCTCTATGGTAACGCTGCAGGAGTTTTCAGTGACCATTTGTGGCAACCAGTTATGCGCCAAAAGTAAGAGTATATGTCGCCTATTCCAGTGGCGGCCTACCTTAAATTTAGTTTCCAACACATTTATTTACCTTCCATAAGAGCTAATAATAAATCAACTTCTATGATGAAGAAACTTGCCACAAATAGATTAGCCGCCACTAAAAACAATGACAAATAATTCGGCAACTTGGCACTTTTGGTCTTTTGGTGAGGGCTAAAACTGATCGTTATTGAAAACTTCTTTTTGTTTAACCCAAAAGAAACTACGGCTCTGTGTGGATTGAATTTCATGCAAGTTTTTGTTTTAGATTTATTTTGAAGACCTCCTCCCTTTAACTTTACGATATTACTAAATTTAATTTTTTTAGAAGTACAAAATATGATATTAGAAAAGACAAATACACCAGATTTTAATTATTTTGCATTAATGTTAATTAATTTTAAAAAAGTTGCTACTCCAAAAAACATCAAAATAAAAAGGATCGCAAATCATGAAAGGATATCTAATAAAAAGTAGTATTATGAAACATGTGTTATAAGAAAAATCAAATTATGGTGGATGTCTACTCTTCCTCCATTATCTTCCGCCATGATCTTCATCTCAAAATGCTTAATGACATATTCAATGACATAATTTTCTTCACTTTTCATGCCTATATAATGGCCTTATAATAGATACGAAAATACACACAATTGAAGAAGAAAATCTCTTCCTTCCTTCTCTCTATCTCTATTTCTTGTTCATGTTTTACTAAATTGCTTTTATTTCATAATACGTTATCAACACGATACTCTTACCAATTGAGATATCTATTTCTATAAGGTATTATCTCCTTCCTAAAAGAGTAAGTCAATTTCTTTCCAATTAAGACATGAACAGTTTCACTTTTGCAAGAATAGTGAGATGACTTAGCTTGCTGGATATTTTTAATTCTTTTTAGTTATGTTCAAAATTACTAGTCATATGCATGTGTCATTTGGTTTTCATGGCTTTTTATTTGCACGAAATGCTATGTGTTGATTACAATAGTCATTACTATTTTTCATATGTATGAACCAATAATTTAAAAATTATTTATTTAATCTACTACTAGATGTAGTGTGCATTAACTAATACTTAGATAAGGTAATATCATCAAGGTTTATATATAGCTAGTCTATTGGGACATATTTTGTGAAAATACAGAATATGCTAGTAACAATGATTAAGCTTTCTTATTTTATGGAATAGAATATATCTCATTACACTTTGGATTAATTTATGGTTAATGAAATGGTATTTAATGATATATAGTACTATATCTAAATAATATGTTTTGATAAGTTTACACATAGTATATTAGTACATGAGTATTTACTATACCAAAATTATCTTTGATAATATTCCTTATCATTTTTAATTCACTTATTTTTATCATAGTGTTTAATATGTTGAACTTTCTTAAGTTTGAATTTATGGCTATGTAAAATTATGTTACATTCCCTGAAGTGAATCAAACAATTTGTGATAAATGTTATATAAGGATAAGACGGTGGACTCAAGTCCCAATGCACCATGAGGGTAAGGCGTTGGGTGTGAGTCCCGATGCACCGTGATTATAAGAGTTGGGTTTGAGCCCCAACTCATTATGGTCTAACATGCCCTTATATGGGTAAGAGTTGATGGCATATTGATGACGTAATAATGATTAAAGAAAAATAATATATTTTTCATAAAAAGGTATGAAGATTGTCCCATTTGATTTGCTCTATTCTTGAAGTGAATGTGGTAGCGGCAAATAATAAGTCTAAATGAAGACAAGTGGTTGACCAATGAACGTGGGCGTTCCAAAGATCAAAATAATAATAATCATCACTATGATTATAAAAAGGAGAACAATAAGGGTTCTCAAAATAGTACTTCAAAGTGTGAAGGCAATGTTTACCATCAAATTGGTATGAAAAATAATAAAGCACGCCGCTGATTATGATCCATTCCTTGAAGAGAATGTGACTTGTGATAAGCATTGAGAATGCAGACCGATTCCTAAAGGTGAATGTGGCAATATGTGATAAAAGTAATGAATAAAGACATGTAATGCATGATTGGATGAATACCACATAACTCACCTCTAAAGAAGATTTGAGTGAAATAAAGAGAATAAATATTATTGTGTGGTTACATGACTATGTCATTGGTCGTGTACATGTGATACGCCAAAATATTTTGGCATGCCTTATAAAAGTTATTAAAGGTAAAATTAAAGCAATAAATAATTTTGCTTATGATGATTTTAACCATGAAAATTTATTATGATATGATTTTCTCTGTGAAAGAGACATTCACTATATGGATGGTGTAACAAAAGATATTGCAGTAGATGTGATAACCCTAAATGTTATCTTTAAATTTAATAATTAATTTTATATTCTAAGACCTCAAAAGCACTATTTATCATTTCTCGACTTGCATGCGCAGTCCGTAAAATTTTTCAAAAAGTTTTTATGTGAAAAATGGATTAAAATGTGAGATAGAGCTTTAAAAACTCAACTGAGTTGACTTTGGTCAACATTTTGAGCAAGCGGACTTGGATCAGTATTTTGACAGTTTCGGAAGGTCGGTATCGTGATTTGGGACTTGGGAGTATGCCCGGAATCAAATTTCGAGGTCCCTAACCCAAGATATGGAATTTTGATAAGAACTTAAAAGCTTGAAAGCTTAATGCTTTTTAAGAAATTACTGGTGTTGGATTTATTGACACCGGGTCCGTATTTTAGTTTCAGAGTCCNTGGATCTATTGACACCGGGTCCGTATTTTGGTTTCGGAGCCCGGTATAGGTCCACTATAATATTTATGACTTGTCTGCCGAATTTGGTAAGAATCGAAGTTGATTTGACGTGATTCGGATGTCCGGTTGTGAAAATATTAGTTTTGAAGTTTTCTTGAAAATTTCATTCGATTTGGTGTTCAATTCATAGTTCTAGGTATTATTTTGGTGATTTGATCATGCGAGCAAGTTCGTATGATATTTTAGGACTTATGTGCATGTTTGGTTTGGAGCCTCTAAGGCTCGGGTGAGTTTCGGATGGGCTACGGGATAATTTTGGACTTAGGAAATCTGGTTTTCTGTAGACTTTAGGTTTCTGGTGTGTTCTTCTTCGCGTTCGCGAAGTTACTCTCGTGAACGCGAAGAGTAAATTAGACAGGCACGGTTTGTGCTTCGCATTCGCGACAGAGGAAACGCGTTCGCGAAGGGTTGAGGTGCAAAGCTTTGCGTTCGCGATCGAAGCCTCGCGTTCGCGAAGGGAAAGGGGCTGGCCAGACAATTTGCCTTCGCGTTCGCGAATGCCAAGCCATGCAAGCTTCACGTTCGCGAGATAGCCCTCGCATTCATGAAGGGTAAAATTAGACAACCCAAATTTGTGCTTCGCGAACGAGAGGCACCGACCGCGTTCGCGAAGGGTAAAAATCCAAGAAACAGAATTTAAGTTCTGGAAAATGGGATTCGTCCCCTTTTCAACCCTTTTCCATTTTTGAGCTCGGGTAAGGCGATTCTTGGGCGATTTTTACGGGAAAACATTAGAGGTAAGTATTACTTATCCTATATTGATTATATTTCATGACTCCATACTCATTTATATCATGAATCTGTGAAATTTTGGGAGAAAAATCTTATTTTTATCAAAATCTTCTAAAAATAAAAATTTAAGATTTGAAGGTCCATTTGACATCAGAATTTGATAAATTTTATATGGTTGGACTCATCTCGGAATGGGTGTTCGGATTTCATAAGTTTTTCCGAGATTTGAGATGTGAGTCCCACTATCAATTTTTAAAGTGAATTTCGGATTTTATCCGGAATATTAGTAAATTCATATGGAATTAATTCTTATGATTCGTATTGAGTATATCGAATTGTTTGTGAATA